TGTTGCACTTGCAGGGGATGGGGGATGCTGCGGGCCTATGCGGTGCCGTTTTGCAAGGGATGGGAGATACTGTTGCACAACAGTAACTACTGTGCGCCTTTGCGGTGCCATTTTGACCAAACTCAAGGCAGTCATGTACTTGCCTGCGTAAATGATAATTAAACAAAAAACTATCCTTTTGCCTTTTCATTTTAAATATTACATTTCTATTATAAATTGTCTTCTATTTAAAGTAACGGAATATTTTAATTTATTATTTTAAAGTCAATTTAATGAATAAAAAATAATATTTAATTTTTAAAACATTTCAATTTTGAGGTAGTTGCGGAAGAGCATCCAGCTTTACTTATATTTTACTTTAGAAAATTATCAAAAAATTCAATTCCTATTATAGAAATCACATTTTTATCTATTTCTCCAAATAAACTCCTTATTCTTTCTCTATTCTATTAACAAGCTCTTAATTTTCCTCTATTCTATTAAAATATAATTATAAATTATAAATTTAAATAAATACAAATCATAAATGTGTACTGCTGTCTTTAAATAAAGCAAATATATATATAGGAGTCATTATAGCAAATATTAGTTTAGAATGATTTATAAAGGAGCTGATAGTGTGGTATAAGGGAGTTCCAACCCCCTAAAATAAGGAAGGAAATGATTTGGGGGGTGGGATGGGGATGCTCTAATGCCCTCCAAAAGAAATAATCTTGCTAATGCAGCGTTTGTTAAAAAACTACATAATAACAAAAAAAATTACAATTTTAATACGTATTTCACATTTATATGTAGTTTTAAAGGAAAATTATTGAAACATTTCTCTCTAAATTTGTGTAGTAGGAGAGGTCTAAGATACTTTTTTTTATTCGCTAAGATTTCTCAACATTTTCACAGAAAAAATTCAACTCAGAGAAATTTTGGCTCCGACTTAGAGAAATTTCAAAATTTCTCTGTGAAATCAGAGAAATTTCTTTATAAAAATTGAAATTTCGCTAAGTCGGGACAAAATTTCTCTAAGTCAAGTAAAATTTTTCTGAGTTAAATTTTCTCTGTAAAAATGTTGAGAGACATTAACTGCTATGAAAATATTGTATGTCTTTTATTTTATAAAATATTAATATCAGGAACTTCAAAAAAAATTCTCCTATTTTTTCCACATCCCAAATCCATTTCTCTCGGTTTGATTAGGGGTGTAAAAATTGCCTACGGCCCGTGGACGGCCCGAAGCCCGCCTACGGCCTGGGGTGGGCCCGTTTAGACCCAAGCCCAGCCTGAGGCCTTGGGCCTAGGCTTCAGCCATCGTTTTAAAGCTCGGCTTGACCCGCTTGGCACGGCCCATCGACTTACTCAAGTCCCACTCAAAAGCCCGGCCCGAGGCCCAACATTATTTTTAATGAAAAATAATAAAATTTTGATGGAAAAATAAAAAAACGAGCCGGGTCCACTATAATAAATTTTGTTTTGTCCATTATTTGATTGAAGAAATTTAGCAGCGTCCTAATCTGCTGTTTATATTGTCGCATTTGGTCATTTATGTGCAATATATCGAACTTACTTTTCTTTCAAGATTTTCATATACTCAAAGAATTGTCAATTTTGTGAAACTAATAAATAAAATTTTCAGGGCAATAAACATTAAAATTGAAAATTTCTAATTTCACATGGTAACTTGAAAAGCCATGATTATGCATGTTGATCACATTGCTGAATTTTCTTGGATAACTCTTCTTCCGATTTGTCTTCACTTTCTTGGCCAAATGTGTTTTTGGCTAATAGGTTGGCTTCGGTTTCATTATCATTGGGACTAACATGATACCTTTGGATAAGTCCTTGATGTGAATCCTATCTGTAGGGATATATTTTCTAAGTACCAACACGTGACAAGGTGACGCCGACGTGTCAACCGAGGTGCCACGTGTCTTGGTCGTTGTGCCGAGGTCATCTCAGCTAGGCCGAGGTTATCTCTGAAGATATCAAAATCCGAGATAAGCGGATAAGGGACAGGAGTCCTAGGACAAAGAGGGGACTTAGCAGAGATAAGGATAAAGCTCTTAGGGAGTTTATCTTTATCTCTTGAGAAATCCTAAGTAAGCACTGAATTGAAGTCTATAGAAGTCATGCTTCTAGTAGGACTTGGATTGAGTTAACTATAAAAGAGAGGCACCTCCATGGGTCTAAGGTACACAGTTTTATACTCAAGCTTGCGAGTTTAGCACTTGATTATCTTTGAGAGATATACTGACTTGATCGTCGGAGTGCCCCCGGGTGGAAGAGCCACCGCCGGAGCCCTTTCTTTCTGTTACAGGTTACTAGAGCCATCTATTCTGCCGGTGCTCTCCAGCTGATTACTAGGCGGGCAGTGTGGTAAAAAAATTACCCACACAATTTGGCGACGTCTGTGGGAATCTGAGAAGAATAGATGGCCAGTGACGGACAAGGGAAAAACATTGGGGGCGAAACTCCTGCTGGGAGTGGTAGACCAATCGACCTTGACGTTGAAGGAGACAACCACAGTACAGAAAATCATGACCAGGGCCACGGAGAAAAAGACGTCGGCCAGGAGGGCGACGCTTCAAAAAGGACAAACCAAAGCAAGTACTACAACGAAGATAACCTTCAGGTTTGGAGGGATAGGTGCTTACGAAGGGATGAGGAAGTAAAAGACTTGGCAAACAAGCTGGCAGACCTACAGTGAGTGGTCAACTTCATGATGCAAAACAATGTCATGCAGCCACCATACCCGCTGCAAGATACACCGATGCTAGAGATTAATACCAGAAGAGAGAAGAAAAAGCAATCCCCGAAGCCCTCAGCACCAGGAGTGCAAGCCACTTCTCAAGCCGGGCCGCGGCCCCCGCCCCCCCCCCCGCCCCCCGCGCGCCCCCGCCCCCCGCCCCCCGCGCCGGCCCGAACGCTTCTAGGAAGTCGGACGAGAGGAACCAAGGCAAGAGAGTCCTGAAGGACAACATCGCATGAAGGATCCAGGGCCCAAAGAACATCGGCATGTTCAAGGGCAAGCGCTCTGCTTTGACACAACCCATGGAGAAAGATCGAAACGGGCCCACCACGAGGCCGAAAGTAGTGTGCCGAAAGATTGAAGTCCAGAGATAGCCGAGCTCCAGGTAGGAGTAAGGAAGAACTTGAGGAACTACTTCAAAAGGAGGCAGAGAATGTTGAAAACCGAGGTGACTCTAAAGTTAGCGACGAGAACACCATTCCTCGGTGGACTGGATAAATTTGAAGCACCAAAGAGATTCAGTATGCGAGGTTCCAAATTTATGAATGGTAAGTCAGACCCCAACTTTCATGTTGGACTATACCTGAATTCAATGGCATTATACAGTGGGAACAAGCCGTTGCTCTGCAAGTATTTCCCTCATCCTTGGGGAAATTGCATCCGATTGGTTCCATAAACTACCGAAGGGAAGCGTAAAGACATGGGAAGGCCTGGCCGAGATATTTGTGGCCAGGTTGTGACGAACAAACTACAGCCCTTGAGGGTCGACGCCCTAATGGCTTTAAGATCACCAAGGAAGAAGGCCTTAGGGCCTACGCGAAGAGATACTACGAGGTGTTCAATCGAATACCCGAATGCAACCAAGAAGTGGCGGTCGTATCTTTCAAGAACGGCCTCAAAGATGACTGCCCACTACGGAAGTCCTTGGCAAAAACACTGCCAAAAAGCATGGAGAACTCCATGGCAAGAATTGAGAAGTACGCCAGAGCCGAGGAAGATACATTGGGAAACAAAGAGATAAAATAGGAGAAAGGAAAACGGCTCGCCGAAGCCGAGGCCGAGGTAACAACGGACCGACCAAACAAAGAAACAAATTGAAAGGTAAACAGGCAGTGACCACTGTGTTCCGAATCCCTATCCATAAAGTCTTGGACAAATACGAAAACAAACCCTATTTCAGAACTCCAGCAAGAACACCAGGGGAATTCATGGGAAGAAACGTTGGTAGGCGTTGTGCTTACCACAATGAAGAAGGGCACACACGGGGTTTGCAGAGTCCTAAAAGCACACTAGAAGACTGGTAAGACAAGGCCATCTGAGGGACCTTATTGAATGAGGCCAGGACAAGAGAACAACATGGAAGATTGCCTCAAGCACCAGCAGCTCCACCACCTCCAGCACAGCAACCACAGGCAGGAGGGCCAAGGGTGGTTAAGTGATCCACTCAAGGATCACGAGAACGAAGTCAGAGGAGAAACCCAGAGGGTAAGGCATTTACAGCATGTCTACCAAATCGGGGAAAAAAGACCTCGCCTGAAGAAAGCCAAGGACCAATCATAACCTTCACCGAAGCCGACCTAGAGATGGTCCACATCCGCTAATGATGCCTTGGTAGTATCCCTCCAGGTTGGGGATGCCAAGTAAAACGGATCTTAATAGATCAAGGCAGCTCTTGTGACATCATGTATATCAATGTTACAAGGAGCTGGGCCTTCATCCAACGACTTGGAACAATCCAGCAACCCTATGGTCGGCTTCAATGGAACACCGACATGGCCACTGGGCGCAGCAAGTGTGGAAGTACAAGCTGGTACTAAGAAGATCAAAAACAGAATTTATGGTGATTGACACACCCTCACCATATAACATCATCTTGGGGAAGACCATTGGTAGCATGAG